GAGGGAGGAGAGGAAGGAAGGGAGGGAGGGAGGGAAGGAAGGAAGGATCAAAGGAAGGAGAGGGAGGGAGGGAAGAAAATTGAGGAAACCGAGGCTCCTGGAAGAAACCTTAGGCCAAGAAGCGTCATTCAGCCTCCCTACTATGAGCTAAACCGGAAGTCCTTATGCAGTTGGGTCCCCGCGCTGCTTCCGTTGTCCAGGAGTCGGGAAAAACCATCTATCATTCTCCTTTAGTATTTTCCAGTCCCGTATCTTCCCATCTGCCATCCCTTGGAATAATAACCACAGACGTATGGGACCGGCAGTGATTATTGACCCCATTTTGCAGTTAAGGAAACATACACAAAGGCCAGCCCCGACGCCCACTGCGTAAATGGAGACTCGGGATTAGAACTTGCAGTTCGGACACCTGGAGCCCCTACGCGGCGAGGCTGGCCGGGAGAACTACGTTTCCCAGCAGGCTCCGCAAGGGTGCGCATGCCCAATAGGTCGGGAGCGCTGGGCGGATAGATCTGCCGGCGCCCTAGCCAGGAAAGGTGGACGACGCGGCTGGGAACACCCTGCTGGCCCGGGATGTGGGACTTACGCGGGGTGAGGCAACCTGGGTTTGGGAAGTGAGTGTCCCGGAGCGGCAGAGCGGGCTCTGGGGCTGGCGCCTGCGGCCACGGATCTGGAGTCTTGAATCTTGGGTCTGCTTAAGGATTGGGGTTTCAGCTCGTAGCTTTAGGCTCGAGTTGTGTCTGCAGACCGGATTTGAGGTCCGGGTCTGAGTCTGGGGTCCGTCTTGAGCCTGGCATTGGAGGTTTTGAGAGTAGGGTTGACTTTCTGGTGTTTGGGCCTCTAGTATTAAGTCTGAGGTCCTGGATCTAAAGTCTTGGGCTGGGGTCTTGAGTCCGGGGTCTGAAGGACCTACCCCTGTTGGGTCTGTATAGTCAGGGTGTATCTCCAGCTTGGGTACCACGTCGCAGGAGAGAAAGCCTTGGAAGAGTAACGGCTGGGGTTAACAGGGTCCACGGTGGGGAGAAGTCTGGGGTGACAGGTCAAGGGAATTCCCCTGGGTTTGGAGCCTGGGATGCCACACTGCCGTAAAACTCATTCTGTGCCTCAGTTTCCTCATTAGTAAAATAAGGATTATAGCAGACCCTTCATTGCAGGATATGGTGGGATTAAATTATGTGTTTTGTATAAACAGCCCCCAGCTAACGCCTGGCACCAAGTTGGTATCCAGGAAATCTCATCTTTGAATCTCTTTCAGATGCTGGCCTGAGCCTGGGTCCAGGCCTTGAACTCCTGGCAACTCCTCCAGCCCCCTCCAGGGCCTCCAGCCATGGACTTGGAGGAGCCCAGAGACACACTTGTGCCCTCTCAGGATCTTACTCCTGACTGCCAGTGGAACCCAGTGCCAGGAGGCCCATGCAGCCTGAGTCAGATGGAACTTGATGGGCCAAATATTCAGGATCTAGTGCAGCAGTTTGAGGCTCTGCCAGGTGATCTTGTGGGCCTGGCCCCAGATAGACTCCCCTGCCCCCTGCACATTGCCACTGGTCACGGCCTGGCCCCCCAGGACGTGGCTGTTGCCCACGGGCTCTTGTCTGCTGAGGCTGGCAGGGATGACCTGCTGAGTCTTTTGCACCTCGAGGCGTGCCCTCCTTCCCAGTCTTGTCCCAAGGAGCCTCCAGACCCTGCTCCTCGCCTGTTGCAGCCCCCTGAGGACCCAGATGGGGATACTGGCTCCCCGGAATGGGCAGAGGGAGCCTCTGCTGAACAGCATGGCAGCAAGAGTTCAAGCAGCTCCCCAGAACCCTGGCTGGAGACGGTCCCTCTGATTGCTCCTGAAGAGCGGCCTGCCAGTGCCCAGGTAGTGCTTGCCCCAACCCCCAGACCTTCTCTGCTGCCAGGAGCCAAGCCAGGGGGACTCAGTCCTGCCCCTCTTCTATCTTCTTCTAGAGCCCCGAGACTGCAGCTTCATATCCTGCCCTCCAGGAGGGTGAGTGTCCCACCCACCCTGGCCCCAGGAACCTAAGGGTTTCAGAACAGCCTGAATCAGGCTCCCAAAATCTAACTCAGAGTTTTCCAGTAAGGAGTTGCTTCTGTAGAGGCTCTGAGAATGGTTTTAGGTCGATTCCTAATGGCCCGAGAGAAGAGAGACAGCCTTGGGAATGTTCTAGAATGAGTAGAAGACAGTAAGGCAGGCTTGAGTATTTGTGACACTCTGTTCTAGAGCAGGGATTGGCAAATTACCATCTATGGGCCAACTCTGGCCCACCACCTGTTCTGATATGTCTTGTGTTCTACGATGGCTTTTGTATCTGTAAATGGTTGGGGAAAAACAAAAGAAGAGTAATATTTCTTGACACATGAAAATAATATGCAATTCAAATTTCAGTGTCCACCATAGACAATATGTAAATGAACAGATATGTTGGTGTCCCAATAAAATAATTTTACAATTATTTTACTTTTCGTTCATATTAGTGCTTAAAAATCCATTGTGCATTTTATACTTACAGCACATCTCAATCCAGACCAGCCACATTTCAGGTGCATAATGCCCACATGTGCCTGGTGGCTGCCATATTGTGGACAGTACAGTTCTGGAACCCCAGAGCAGAGTTGTCTATTGTTCCAGAATGCTTAGATGGTGAAGGACAACAGGCAGAGATATCTGTGGTTTAAATTCACAGACAGGAGCTTGGTTTACTTCACTTGGGTCTGTACCTGTGGTTTTAAACCAAAAAAGCAAGAGCTATTGGTTAGAACATTCTAGAACTGCTGGGAGAGCTGTGTGTCTTTATGTTGCTCAGGGGATTCTAGAGCCATTGGGGGCAAAGCTTTATGTGGTTCTGGGCTGGTTTGAGGGAATTTTAGAACCATGCCCAGAGTTGTTTGCTTCTGGATGTTCAAGTGATCCTCAGATCAGTGGGTACATCTGCAGCCATGAATTACTAAGGGGATCCTAGGACCATAGGAAGAGCTACCCGATGCTATGATGATTAAGAAATTCTGGAATTGGCCCGCCAGCGTGGCTCAGTGGTTGAGTGTCGACCTATGAACCAGGAGGTCATGGTTCAATTCCTGGTCAGGGCACATGCCCAGGTTTCAGGCTCAGTCCCCCAGCAGGGGATGTGCAGGAGGCAGCCAATCAATGACTCTCATCATTGATGTTTCTATCTATCTATCTTTCCTTTCCTCTCTCTGAAATCAGTAAAAACATATTAAAAAGAAATTCTGAAATCACCCTAGCCAGTTTTGCCCAGTGGTTAGAGCGTCGGCCCATGGACTGAAGGATCCTGGGTTTGATTCCAGCCAAGGGCACGTACCTTGGTTGCAGGCTCAATCCCTGGCCCCTACTCCGAGTCCTTGTGAGAGGCAGCCAATCGATGTGTCTCTCTCACATCGATGTTTCCCCCCACTTCCACTCTTTCTGAAAAGCACTGGGGGGAAAATATCCTTGGGTGAGGATTAAAAAGAGGAAAAAAAAGAAAAAAGAAATTCTGGAATAATGGAGTGGAAAAGTCTGATTC